GGCTCTGTCATTCATGCTCTCTGATCTGGGAAAGCCGGTCATCCTCACCGGTTCCCAGGCCTCCATTTTTGCTCTCCAGTCCGACGCCGTCGACAATCTCCTCGGTTCGCTCATCATCGCAGGAACCTTTGTCATCCCCGAAGTCGGTCTTTTCTTCCATCACAAGCTGTTCCGCGGCAACAGAACCAGCAAGGTCTCATCTGCCGCTTTCGAGGCCTTTGCTAGCCCCAACTGCGAGCCACTGGCCAAGGTGAACGGACTTGGTATTGACGTGAACTGGCCCATTGTGTTGAGGCCCACTAGAATCGCCGAGCTCCAGGTCACGAAGCACCTCGACACAGCTCACGTTGCCTGTCTTCGAGTGTTCCCTGGCATCAGGCCAGAGATGCTCGACTCGGTCCTGCGTGTCCCCGATCTACGTGGCCTCATCCTCGAGACTTTCGGAATGGGTAACGCCCCCAGTGGTATCGACGGCAGCTTGACCAAGGTCATCAAGGCCGCCGTGGACCGCGGTGTCATCGTCGTCAACGTCAGTCAGTGCATGAGCGGCTTTGTCTCTCCCGTCTACGGTCCTGGAACCGAACTCGGCCGCGCCGGCGTCATCTTCGGTCTCGATCTCACAGCAGAGGCCGCCCTCACCAAGCTGTCCTACCTTCTCGCCATCCCCAGCCTTTCCACCGCCCAGGTCAGCGCGAGAATGTCTCAGTCTCTGCGTGGCGAGATGACGGAAATGGCTCTTCCGGTATTTTCGCATCCATCTGGCTCACTCGACTCGGTTGTAGCGCGACTAACCGCGTCAGAATCGGCATTTACCGTCCTCGGTTACGCCATACGAAATGGCGATGTCCGGACGGTGAAGGAGATCCTAGACAACGACGCCCAGCACGAGCTCCTCAAGGCCGCTGACTACGCGGGCAACACGACTGTCCACCTGGCCGCCGTCGGGCCCAACATTGACATCCTGCGCGAAGTGCTGACGAGGGGCGCCAGCGTGCACTCGAGGAATCTGGCCAACAACACGCCGCTCTACCTCGCCGAAAAGATGGGCAAGGAGAAGTGCGTGCAGTTGCTCAAGGAGACGGGTGCGCATTTGTGGTCGGAAGAGGAGGCTATCTTGGATTCTGTTCACGCATCTGCATCTGGAGGAGTTCAAAAGTAGGAAAACTAGAAAAGTCTGGATTTTGGTTTCGTGTCGCATGTTTGAAGGCGTTTCTTGGGGCAGTGTTATTTAGAGGTCATATCTCAATGATAATGAAGCAAATCAGTGATGATTTAAAGAGGGGACAGGTGCTTACTACTTTGGAAAGTTTCATTCTGATTAAGTCTATGACGTTTATTTAGGCTTGTACAATGTCTATTGCTTCTCGTCTGCAAACTGAATTTGCTACTATTGCACTATGCAATTGAATTGGATGAATTTCCCTTACAGCGAGCGAGCTGCTTAGATACCTGTGATTGGTTGTTCCGCATGACAAAGAAATCTGTTGTCAACCTCGGAGGTATTCCTCACATCTCTCGCGGTCATCTTGATGAGTCTGAAGATCCTGGATTCAATCGGCTCCCGCTATCCTTGCCGAGAACTCGTCACTGAACCTTGCTTCGAATTACGTTTCCTCGCCAGATTATCTGCTTCTAATGAACACTGCTTGAGATCCACTTCAAAGGCTTAATCACTAAGGTAGGAGTGCTCGTGTTGGCTAGGTGCAAGCATTCGACTCAAGTGGTTTGTGTCCCGGAGCCCCGGGTCGGCCCCACCTCGATTTTCGGCGCCGGGGCCTAGCGCGGTTCTTAAAATTTGGGAGATTTCTCTTTCGCACCTGCACCAGACAGCTTCATCAATCGTCATTGACTTGAACACTCAGCATCACCCACCCACCTTGCGACACCAGTCTCCGTCCCGAACTGGAAAACCACCTACGAATACAGCGTCGACGCAAACGGACCCACGAGAAGACTTGCTCAGCCGCCGAACCCGAGCAGCTTCTGACCTCCAAGCCCGACAAGACCTCCATCGCGGAAAAACATTAGAACCACATACACACACACACATACACAAAATGTCTTCAGCCTCTACACAACCAACGGGCCAAGCCCCGACCCCGACGCCCAAGATCATCACCAACGCAGCCTGGGCAGGCGTAGTCCTCTGCCCCCTAATCATGCTCATGCCCCCCCGCCGAATCGACTGGCGCACCTTCATGCTCTGGACCGGCTTCTCCGCCTCGGGCAACCAGCTCATCTACGACTACAGCGGCCAGTCCCTCTTCCAGCGCATGCAGTCCCGCCTCGGTCGCATGTTCCCCACGACGCTGCCCGAGCAGGCGCAGCGCACCAAGCAGCTCCTGCGCGAGGAGCGGATGCGCCGCGAGGGCCTGACGGAGGAGCAGATGCGCGCCATCGAGTTCAAGAAGCGGAACCTCGCGCAGAGGCTGTGGTACGGCAGCGAGCCCGAGGACTGGGAGGCCAAGAGGGCTGCTGAGCACGCGAAGGCGCTTGCTGAGGGCAAGGGTTTGGGCGATTTGATTGCCGAGCAGGTTTCTGAGGTTTGGAGCGGCGCGAAGAAGGAGGAGGCAGAGGAGAGTCAGAAGAACGATAGTGAGAAGAAGCAATAACTGAGGGGGAGTTGTCGATGAGAGGTGACGGCCAGTGTAGGATACCAAGAACGAACAAGTAATGAATTTGGAGGGGAAATCGTCCGACTCAAGTCCAGGTACACACTGTGGCTAGTAGGGAGTCTAGCAAAAAAGGCGTTGAAGGTTTGCAGTTTGGAGCATTGATGGGTTGGTGACAATCTCCCCTGGCTGTACATTACTATTATTGAGCACCATCACACAAGTAAGGTCCGCGCTTTGCGATCTGTGACGTGTAAGGATATGCCGCCATCTTGCGAAGTATGGCCGGTATGCCGTTATTTGAGCTCGGCGTTCAGTTTGTTATTGACATGATATATCCTCCTCCCATTTGACCCGCTAGACGCCAATATGCATGCATATATACTTTTGTCTTATTGTATCCTCCTTCCCTTTTCCCTTTCATCACACATCCATTACTCCCTCACGACGCCTTTGCTCTCCAGAATCGGCGGGGCCCCATCGAGCCGCAGGTCGGCCAACTTCTCTCCTAGTTGCCTCCCTGCCGGTCTCGTAGGGCCTTTTTTTGCTTCTGCTTCTTTATCTGCTTCTGCTTCTCATCATTTTTGTTGTTTCGTCCTGAGTAAGGCTTACCCTGTGCTTTCCCCTTTGACGCGATCTTCTTGGCCTTCTTCTTGGCCGCCCGCGCCTCGGTCTTTTCGTCAAACTCGGCGATCCAGGTCTTGAGTAGCGCGTCCACCTCCTCCGCGCGCTCATCCGACTCGGCGGGTATGCCAAGCTCCTTCTTAATCGCCTTCCGATGGTTATCAATCTGCATCTGCCGCCGCCTTGCTGCGCGGTTGGGGCCACCCATCTGGCTATCGCCGCCGAACGCCGAGCTGGGGGCAATGGATGTGGCGTAGCCGGCTATGGACGCGCTTGTGTTGTCGGGAATCTTGCCCTTGGTGGGGTTCACATCGATCACGAAGGGGAGCGGCTCGGCATCTGTTGCAGGAGTAGAGGTAGGCACTGTCGCTGGCTCTGTTGGCTCTACGGGCTCTGCTGGCTCTGCTGGCTCTTCTGACTCTGTAGGCTCTGCGGGCTCTGCTGCTGTGGTGGTCTCGTCGGGGGTTCCTGTCGCCGTATTGTCCTCTGGTTTTTCTTCTTCCTTCTCAGCGACGATTGTGCTCTTTCTTGTCGCCTTCCTTCCCCTCGTCTTCTTTTCTTGTGCTTTGAGCGCAGGCGATGCGGGCTGGGACTCAGGATTCGGCGTGCTGGCCAAGGAAGAAATTTGGGAGCCTCCAGGCATCAACCCCTCACGGATTTGTTTTCTACGCGCAGCTCGTTCGGCGCGAGCCATGGCTGCTGCCTGTCTCTTGTCGGCAGGAGTTGGTGGGACATCTACATCCATGGCATCGGTAGATGCCTCCTAAGGTGGGGGTTAGAACCAAGACAGCTGAAGACTCGGGAAGTCAGGCGAACCGTGGGTGCATTGAGCTTGGCGCCACCGTCCTCCCTGTCGGAGTCGGAATCACCACCGCGGATTTTCTTGCTCATAGTTTCGAATGGCTGTGTAAACTGGATCTTCAGCGTGCAGTAGGCAAATCTCCGCGCAATTGAGGAACTCTGGAAACTCTGCGCAACGACCCTCTTGCTAATTAAAGCTCCCCCAAGCGAAGGAAAAAAAAAAGTTGATTAAACCAGGGGTCTTTTTCCCCTTCTGTTATCTTATCGACACGTGATAGCGTGTGGCGTCGCAACGGTCGTGGACCATAGGTTGTTCCATTCAGTCGCGCCGCACGCAGGGCGAGAGGACCCCCGATCTCCGACAACGCACGGACAACGATGATTCCAGCTTGAGCCAGCATTCTGGATAGGGCTGGCTCGGGGGGATGCCAAAATGACTGGCAGGGTGCTGTCAAATCCAGCGTCAGCTCTCTCGCAAGCAGAAAGCACGAGGAAGAGTTAAAAGAGGATTCGAATGTTGTCCGAGTACGTCATCTCATGGGCTTGGGTGCTTTCTCGTGTTTCTTTCCGATCGTGCATGTGGCTTGCCTCCACGAGTAACCATTCTTTAGTGGGTGACGGCCGAGCCACCATTTGTCGTAAGTGCCCCAAATCTGCGCAGTGCGCGACCGTTGTTGGTGAGCTGACGGTCTGGCGCAGGTTTTTTTGCCCGAACTGTGGAAAAGACGATGCAAGTGAATGTCAGCAACTGTTGGAAGCTCAGCTGACATGTATCAGTTCCATGATCACAACAGCGGATATTGGTGGAAGACCATTCTGGGTCTGTCTTCTCTGTTCTTGTACCAATTCTTGGTGGACGCGAAGTTTGGCTTGGAATGATATAAAGGTGCCACAATGTTGACTGGGAAGAGTCGAGCAAAAGGAGGCTGAGAAGCGACGAACCCACAGTGTCGGGCAGATTCTTTAGGAAGGCGTACTATCGCGGGTGTTGCGAAATCCACATTCCGGTCGGTATGTCCTTGGGGTCCATTTGTAAGGCACATTGGAGAGCTTTATTGGGGACCCCCCCAGATATCCAGGATGGTTTCTTGTCATTGATTCCAAGGAGAGGCCGATTAGAAAACGAAGGTTTTCCTGCCTCGCCAGGCCGGTCCTTGTCGGATAGCGGCAGGGCAGTTGATGTAGATGTTGATGGGATGGAAATAATGGAATGAACACCTCATGCTGGTGTTGCTCCCCCAACGCTGTGGAATCGCCGAGGGTTTGCAGGGTCATGACTCTTGAAGGCTTGGGGTTGTGGTCGTCTTGTGGAGCGAGTGTCGGAGCCAGGCTGCCAGGATGCTGCCCGTAGTCTGCATGCACTGCATGGATCGGCAGTCGTTAGCCATAGGGCACGTCTGCGGAAGGATTGCAAGAAGCTGCTGCTGCTATGGCTGGCTTTCAAGGTTTCGACTGCTGACAGTTGATCATCATGTCATCCTGCTTTCCCTAAGCGGATCAGCGAGTGAGGCGGATGGCTTGCTGTCTAAAGTTGATAGATGTATCCCCAGGTAGGCACGGCAGGCTGTCTTGCAGCCCGCAGAATCGAAGCGAGAGGCTCACGGAAGAGCTCAAGAAGAAGAGAAGTGGCGGGTACATCGACCTCGGCTGAGATGTGGCTCTGTTCCGAGCCCAGCTTGGATTAGTGGAAAGGTACATTCGACAGAGGCAAGAAAGGACGTTGGAAGAAGGCACGAAGGGTCCCGCCTGGTCGAGTTACCTCACAGCTCACCTGCCACGCCGGGGGTCGGCAGGCTGGGTTACGCAACTATCTGAAACTTGTGGGTCTCCGTTCCAAACATAGCACAGCTCAGAGGTGCAGCCACGAGTCTTCGTACCGCGACATGTGCCGCTGCCACGAAGGGCTGCCAGTTGCAGATGCAGATGCGCTGCTGAATGGCAGCCGCCCTGTCGCTTTTGACATTTGTACTTCGTAGGCATTGTACCTCGTAAGGCAAGGGCGCTATTGTTCCTTGCCCACCTTAACTCAGGCTTAAATGTCCGATCCGTACGTCAGGTGTACTTTGTACGAACAGGCACCGCAAGGTACCTAGGTAGGTATGACTGGCGACGGTCCCATTTGGCGGGGGAAAGACTCTGGTCGGAGTGGAAGATGCAGAAAAAAAAAGGGCTGGCATTGCTGACACAGCCTCAAAGCCGGAACTACTGCAAGCCTACTGCACCCTGCTCAGACTCCCGTTTGGTGGTGTGCCATTGTGCATCCCCCCTCTTCACCTCTCACTGGGCCGCCTCCCTCCCACACACTCCCGTCACCGTGATCCACTCGCTCAAGAGAAGTCTCGAGTCTGAGAGGCGGGCAGTGTTTTGGGTCCTCTTCACTGCCAACCACATTGCCGTTCCTCCTCTGTATCTTACGTACCTATGGATCCAACCCGGTGTAGTTGTTGGTCCAGCGCCAGCCGCAAGGTACTCTGCCTCCCACTTGGCAGGCTTGGGCAGAAAACAGAAACAAGGCCAGGAAGGCTTGCGTTTGAAAGCTGGGCTGTTTAAAAGAAATAACCTCCTCGCATCCCCCCTTCGTGTCGTGAGAACGTGTCCTGCTCCTGTTACCAGATTCATCCCTTGACCGACGACATACGAGTTTACTGCTTAAGGTGGCACTCCCTTCACTCGTTCTGCCCCCTATAACCCCTTAGGTGCTACACAGGAACTCTCCTTTCTGCGCTCCGACACTCAAGCACCCAAAACACCCAAACTATCTTCTACTCACCCGGTCATCCGAAGTAGTGTAGCTCAGGTTGAGTGCACAGGCATTCTCCCAGTCCGCTAATTCATAATTCGCCTACTGCGCGCCTGGAGGTAAACCTGCAATTACTTTTCGACATTCTTCTCACTTCTCTTTGGCGGCTTTGCCTTTCCTCAGCTTCAGCTTACTCCGGTTACCTTGGTCTCGTTCAGAGAGGCTGGCTAAGCCGGGCTTAATTTGCTTGTTACCGACCCACCGCGCTCACGGACACCCTGCATTGTATCCGTACTCCAACTCAATCACTCCATCCGTCTTCCAGGCTTAGCTTGGGCTCATCGATCCACGCCAAAACGCTGCATCGAACAAATATCCACGACCCCCCGACCGCGTTACGACACACACCTCATTTCAACCCTCCCGCTGTCACATTTCTCCGCGTCCCATCCCTTTCCGGTCGGTACCTGAGCCATTCTCCATCTCGCACTAGTCCGATTTGCCTTGCTTGCCTTCGCTGCCCGCCGAAGCCTAGTTCAGCCGCTCCAAGCGAGATTTCGACTCTCAGAAAAGGACGAGACCTCGCCCAGATTCCCATTCCCCTGGTCTCACATAATTCCAGTCCCTTCGTAATTGGCATCCGCCGACCCAGCACATATCATGGCTGCCAACGACTATTACCAGAACAAACCGCTACCCCCTCCAGGAGCTTCTCCCTCGCCTGCTCCCTATTACGGTGGTGCTGCCTACAACAACATTCCCTCAACCAGTTCAACACCCGCTCCTCCCTACAGCTCAATAACGCCTGCGCCCGGTGCCAGCCAACCACCACCACCGCGCGCCAACACTGTATCCCCCTTCGAAAGCGTCTTTGACGATCATGTCTATCCCGTAGACTCAACACAGGACGGATTTCGCCACAACGGAAATACACAGAGCCCTCATCCTCAGAGCACGAACAACATGCAACCCCAGCGCATGAACACGATGAATACAGTAAACACCGCCTACTCGGGCCACGGCCAGACGGCCTACAACAGCCACGATCCCCACCAGCAGAATCCTTATGCTCAGCCGGACACTGCCTACTACGGTCATTCCACTTCTCCAGACTCGAGCAGACAAAATGTGGCCGACGAGATTCCCTTGCAAAGCCGGCAGCCGACGCAGCCGCACAAGGATGTGGAGATGAACGAGAATGACCATGTCTACGACGCACCTGCGGGATCTCGCCGCTCAAAGAGTCGCCGCGACAAGAACAAGGTTGGATTTGGTCAGCTGGGCATGTTTGGCGCCGACAGAAAGGGTATTCCATGGGTCGTTTACATTTTCACGTTGGTTCAGGTTGCAGTGTTCATCGCTGAGATTGTGAAGAACGGTAAGCCAAATCAACAGGTCGAAACCTAACAGTATTTGATACTAACGGAACGCAGCTCAACTCACCGGTTCTCCCATCATGACCAAGCCCTCATTTAACCCCATGATTGGACCTTCCACCTACGTTATGATCAACATGGGTGCTCGCTACGTAGCTTGCATGCACAACGTCAAGGGTATCCAGGATCTCGGCCAGCCCATCACATGGCCTTGCCCGAACTCGACCTCGAGCGACGCCAGCAACCCCTCGAACCAGTGCGGCCTCGGCGATTTATGCGGCTTCGGAGGTGTGCCGGAGCCTACCTACACCGACATCAACCAGTCACCGGAACCCAACCAGTGGTTCCGCTTCATCACACCCATTTTCCTGCACGCAGGTCTCATCCATATCGGCTTCAACCTGCTTCTGCAAATGACGATAGGAAAGGAGATGGAGATAGCCATCGGCTCGATTCGCTTCTTCTTGGTCTATGTGAGCGCTGGCATATTCGGCAACGTCATGGGAGCAAACTACGCCGGTGTTATGGCTGCATCTACAGGTGCTTCAGGTGCCCTTTTCGGCGTCATCGCTCTCACCCTGCTCGATCTCCTGTACTCCTGGAAGGACCGCCGCAGCCCTGTGAAAGACCTGATGTTCATCATGTTGGATGTAGTCATCTCTTTCGTACTGGGTCTGCTGCCAGGACTCGACAACTTTGCCCATATCGGTGGCTTCCTAATGGGTCTTGCGCTGGGCATCTGCGTCTTGCATTCGCCCAATTCCTTGAGACGGAGACTTGGCGCTGAGGATCCATCATACGCATCCATGCATCTCACTCCCAACCAGGGTGGCCCACCGCCGTTCTTGAAGAATCCCATCGGTTTCTTCAAGGGCAGGAAGCCACTCTGGTGGGCATGGTGGTTGGTCAGAGCCGGCTTCTTGCTGACGGTCATCATTGTCTTCATCGTCCTACTCAATAACTTCTACATCTACCACAACACTTGCAGTTGGTGCAAGTACCTCAGTTGTATTGTAAGTTATCTGATCACCCATGCTAACGACGATCATCTGCTAACCTAAAACTAGCCTGTAAACAACTGGTGCGAGCTTGACAACTTCAAGATCACTTCATCATGAAGAGTTGACATCATAGGAGGAACGACCCAATTAATGCTACGAGAGTTTGCATTGCACTGGTTTCTGGACTTTGGCAAGGGTGGTTCATGATTTGCATTGCTCAGCGACGGCGTCCCGGTTCACGATGGGTATTTTTATGAAAGAAGAAGGAAAGGACCCTCTCCCATACGTCCAACAGAGACAAATCGTCTTCATAGGTAGAGCCATACACATAGCGCTGCGGGGGTTTGCCAGGGTTCTCTCTATTCGCTGCCGCTGACCGACCAACCGTCTCGGCATCACGCAGTCGCATCGTCCTCGGACGCCCCTGGTTTACCCCGCACATATCATTCGATGGGCTGCACGAGGTTTACGTATTTAAAACTCAACCCAGTCCTAATATGAAAACAAAAATGAACGCTTGTCCCCCATGGTTTTCTGTGTCTAGTTGCTTGACTGTGTGCCGTTGAGGAAGTAGGTTGCCATGGTCGCGCCCACAGACGCACTACCAAGATACCACGTTACGTCGCCTTACGTCAGATGCTGTTCTGCCACGCCAAAGCAGATGTTTCGGAAGTTGATTGAGAGTAAGTTTGCTTCTCTTTGTTTCTACCATGAGTTTCTTGACAATCTCTTGATGAATCCTATTTGCATGGCTTAGCTGAGCGGTCGTGACAAACCGCCGTTGATGCCTCTTAGAATGGATATCTGAAGACAACTGCAAGCAATCTCGTCTCTCTTTCTCTTGTTTCTCCGCGACAAAAAAAGAGCGACTACATGCCTTGCGAGACTATGTGCCATCATGTTGCTCTTTTTGGATCACTTGTACTGTCGTGTTCATCATAGCTAACAGGGACCATGTGTAGAATGCAATGACAGCTA